CATTTACTGATTATATCTTTTAGTCACGTGAGATTTTTGAATCTCTGTAGACTTTTAAGATCATCATATTATCGTAGGAGTCAATAAAATTCTGTAGATATGACGATGAAGTTTTTTTAAAATATATATATATTATAATTAATTAAATTAAAGATGTATTTAAATAAATTTAATTCCTTTATTATGTGAGATTTTGAAATCTCTGCTGATATTTAGAATAATCATATTATCATATAAGTCAATAAGGCTTTGCAGGTATGATGATTAAAATTTTTTAAAAACATGTACATACATACTTAAATAAATTATTACTAACACTTAAAAATATAAATAAATTAAATTGTTAAACTATTTTATTGTGTGAAATTTTAAAATCTCCACAGATATTTAGAACAACTGCATTATCGTATGAACTAATAATGCTCTGCATGTATAGCAGTTAAAATTTCCAATCATAAAATATAAAATAAAAATAACTTTAAACTCTTTTCTTTCTTTATTTCAAAAATTCAAAAATTGAGAAAATAATTAAAATTAAAATTAGTTTTTGTAATTTAAAACACACATATTAAAATTTTAAAAATTATTTTATTTACAAAATAATGACTTATTTTTAATTAATTTCTCCTCAAAAAAATATTTTAACTAAAAAACTTTTAAGCCCAAACTATGTGGACTTTGATCCACATCACAGACTATGTAGGCCTCAGAGTCGGATTATGAGTCAAGTCCTCCTTTATAAATAAATAAATATTTCTCACTTAATTTTTATCATTTTTATATCAAGCACATGAATATAAAACAAATAATTAAAATAATTTTAAAACTATATTAATATAGCACAACAAACTTTAAGTAACCGTTTTCACGAACGTGTGTTGTGGAATGCCTAACACCTTCCCTACATTTAACCGACTCCCGAACCTATTCTTTAATTTCACATACCATCCTTATTCTCCTTTAACTAATTTTCCAAAATTTTCTTTAAAATTTTGGTGGCGACTCCTCGTTTAGCCGGTTCCCACCGCAAAAGCTAGAACCTCTGCTCGCACGCCGTCTGCGTCGCATTTTTCAGGTGCGACAAATATCTTTATAAGTATTCTTTAAATTTTAATTTTGGACATTCTTGTAAAAAAATGAATAAATTTGACGGAAATCGAGGGAGCCCAAAGTCGTGGTGAACGTTCATTCCTATTGCATGTGTTGACTGGCAGTGAAATACCGAGTCTTCTGTGAGGAATTCATAGTTGGAAAGCAGTGAAGTTTCCCGGCTGTTGACTTGTCAAAGCACTATCATGGATTGATGAATGCAATTCCGTAGGATATGAAGTTTGACAAAATTGGCAACATCCTCTTCTCTTTCTTTGAGTTTTGTTTGGGACGAAGACTTTAAGCATCATGGTCTCATGGATGGGGCAATAATGTCTTCAAAATGTCACACATATTCTTTTTTCTTTGTTTTTTTAATTGCAACTTTTTTACTTTGGCAAAGCAAATTTGAAAAAGAAGATAAGAATAAGAATGGAAAGTGACTTGTGGAAATGAATGCATTTGTCATTCAATTTTTCGACGGAAAGTCTGGATGATTTGTAAGCATTAGAAGACTTGACCATAAATAATGTGATGTGTCAGTAATAGATGCATTTTAAGTACTGTTTGAGATTAAGACTTTACAAGCATCCTGGATAGGGCAACGTCTTCAATATGTCAACACACATTCTTTTACGCTATTAATTTTACTACTACTTTATATGCTAATGTTGTCATTTTATAAATTTAATGGGCCTCTATTCACCATTTTCGCTTTAAGGATACGTGCATAAGATAAATTTTTTTTCTAGTATTTTGCACCTTATTATGTTTGCTTCCTTTTGTTGAAACGGTCAACATTAATGGACATTAGTTAAATTTAATGGGAAGGATATGCTGCACTCATTAAAATAAGTTCATAAATACTCCTACACTTTTATTTATTAAAGAATACTGGGTGTTTTTGGAGAAAAAGTTGCTTAGTATTTTTTCTCTTTACCCTATTTTAAAAGTTAAAAGTTGTGTTTGTAAATAACATGCATTTGAATAATCTATTTCCACGTTGTGTCCAATCTTAAGAAAAATGTGATTCCTTGAGGTTGCGTTTGAGTACATGAGGATTTAGATTTGAGTTTGGATTTGAACCACCTCCTCCATTTGGAATTTTGGATGCATAAAATCCAAATTCATATTTTGTTATAACTTTTTGATAATTACAAATTTCCTTTAAATCATAGTTATTTAAAATTTCAGCTGCTCTAACCCTCTCATTGTCTTCACATTTTCATTATCAGTGTCTTTGTTACCCTTGTCTTTCATCTCATCTCTTTTCAATTAAAAAATAGAGGCAAGCTCTCGACTCCCAATCTTTCATTTATGTTTTTAATTTTAACTCATTTCTTTTCTACTTTATTTTTTTTATATTGGCCAAATAAAAAATTTTTAATACATGGATTTTAAATCTAATATTTTAAACCTACAATTCAAATTCAAATCAATTAATCCAAACACTACCTCAAGTGACTTTTACTTTTGTGAAGCGTTTAGATGAGTTAATTGTTGTGGGATATTGAAAAAGAAGATATGAAGACAAATGGAAAATGAATGCATTTATGATCCAATTTTTTGTTGGAAATTGAAGACTGGATGATTTGAAAGTATTAGAAGACTAAAAGTGAAATAATTTTGGTTTATTTCCTCTTCTAAGGATTAATAATTCTTTGTGGGAGCTTTTTTAATTATTTCCGACAATGGGAGTCTTTTTCTATGATCTTTACTCTCCAGCGCCTCTCTTGTGTTCAGCATGGGTAAATGTGTGGTAGGTTTTCTATCTCTTTTTGTTGGTATGAGTTGTTTCTTCCTTTGATATGAGTTGTTGAGAAGGGAATAGGTTCGATTGTTGTTGGCAAGGTAGGGGTTGTCTGTCCAAAGAAAAAATGATTTATGCAATGGTTAATCATGGATTTTGTGACTTCTTGCAACTTAAGAGGTATAAGGTCTTTTCAATATGGATCTTAATAATTTGAGTTTGCTACTAGGGATCTTGGCTTGGGCTTTTCAATTTAATAGGCAGTGGTTTGCAACAGAAATATGGGTGCTTTTTTGTAATGCTAATAGTTAGTTTGTTATTGTTATTGGTGGTTTTGGTTCTCTTTGTGGGAAATTTGATGCATGGAAATGATAAATCTACTATATGGGCAGTAATTATTGTTTACATAGGGATCAAATTGTGAGGATAGTTCTATGAACCTCCCATCATTATTTTCCGATGCAACTTCCAATGTTTTGGAGTTTTCATAATAATGACGATATTTCTTGCTTTCTAGTTTTATTTTAAGGTTTAAGATAGTTCTGATGGCATCGTTTCTTTTTTTTTTCTTTATGACATATTATATTAGGTTTAGGATTTTTTTTTATTGTTGTGTTGTTTCTCTTATTTCTATTTTGTTTGTTTGGTTTGTATTTGTAAACCTTTCTGTTTTTAATGATATTTCACGTTTCAATAAGGAAAAAAAAAGTACTAGAAGACTTGACTATCACGAAAATGATGTGGTTATAGTATTTATTTGGGCAAATCTAAATGTTTGTTTACTTTTAATTTTCTATTAATATTTTAAGCCACATCTTCTTTTCCAATAATTCTCACAACTTAATACATCATGGCCATTCTTAATTGAATTCATTCTACTCATTAATTATCCAGCGAGTTTCACTTCACAAATTTTGTTGTTTCAATATAAAATATTTTCATGCATAGAATTTGAAAGATATGATTTTGTTGTGCAAACAGAAATGAAGGTGAAAACATAGATGATAGAATTTGAGTCTCAGTCAAATTTTTTGTCTACAGGATCTATATAAACCTGAATTTATAAATATTTTTTCGGTAGTGTTTAATACTTGCTATGAATATTTTAATTTCCAATTACATGCATTGGGTGGCATGGGAATAAAATTTAATGTTACTATTGTTTGTTACTTTAATTTTATGGGTAAGTTGTTGGAATATTTATTTATGGATTAACATTAATTAATAAGCCCAAACAGATTAGTCTTTATGATTTTGTGTGAATCGTGATAAGTGGACCACACAAGTGAGCCCAATGGGCAGAGGCCCAACCCACAACCCAGTAACCGTCAGTTATTTTTATTTCTTAATTGAATGAGTCAGAGATAATGACATATAATTATTTAATTATTTTAATAAAGTAGTTACTAACTTGATTCTTATAAGTCAATCAGTTGATAACCACAATACACATGATACATATTCTTCCGATCCATTATTTCTGCACTCTATGAAAACTCTGGGGACCAGTGGGTTGTGCGTCTGTCTATACTCAAGATAATCGAGCTCTTTCAAGCGATCAATGGATTCTTCAAATACACACATGTTTCTTTATTCTATCTTATTAGATCATATATGAATTGAGATATTAAATCTAACATAAATAATATAAGTAGAAGCTTCATTAACAATGAAAAATATACAAAGGTTGAGATTCAAATTTTCAATCACTTGCTTCAATAAGGAGAGTCTTTTACTACTCAGCCCACTGTAGTTGGTACTGTTGTTTACTATTGGGTTAACAAAATTTGAATCCAATTAGAATAAATCATTTTTACAAATTCCATTGCGGCATCTAAGATTTCCACTATTATACCCACTTTGGGGTTGTTCTTTTTCCTTAACTTAGATTTAGATTTAAATTAGTTTACTCTTCCAAATTGAATTTACATTAAAAGACGTGAAGACTAGGAAACATCAGTAGACTTGACCATAAGCAATAATATCATCTCATTGTATCAATTTTTCAAGGCATTTAACTTTTTGTTTACTTCATATTTTCCAATATTTTTCTCAAAGCAACAATTCTTTTGCAATGACTTTTAGGATCATTTACACAACTTCTATATATATACAAGATAAAGAGCTCCTCCCTAAGTTCATTCTAGGCTAATTAAGCACGATGTCAAGCTTCACTACTTCACGTATTTCTTTTGTTCTACTGTTTCTGCTATTAGCAACAGCATTTGACAGAAGCGTGGATGGTACAAACTCGGTGGTCCGTTGCAATGAAAATGATAAAAGGCTGCTCTCGATCTTCAAACAAGGAGTGGTAGATGCCAAAAACCAACTCTCCTCTTGGGCTGTTGAAGATGATTGCTGTTCATGGGTGGGAGTTCACTGTGACAACATCACAGGCAGAGTTACAGAGCTTGATCTTTTCAATCATGCATTAGGAGGTGAGATAAGCCTATGTCTGCTTCGAGTTGAATTCCTCAACTACTTGAATTTGAGCCGGAATAATTTTGAAACTGTGAGAGTGTCACCATGCCAGATCTCCAAATCTCTTGTTGATGGACACAAATTTGACAACCACTCACTTGCTACTCCTTCTAATCAATCAGAAAATTTTTCTGTTTCTCTACGCTTTCTTGACTTTTCTGACAATTTTAAGTTAGTCATAAGTGATCTTCATTGGCTTTCTCAACTTACTTCCCTAAAATATCTTGACCTCAGCGGCAATGATATAGGAAATGAAACCAAATGGCTCCATTATATGGCCATGCTTCCTTCGCTCTCTGAGTTACACTTGAGATTTTGTCAATTGAGCAATTTTCCATCCCTTGATTATGCCAATTTTACATCACTTGAAGTTCTTGATCTCTCTTTAAATGACCATCTCAGTGCAAAATTACCTGATCCGTTCTTTAATATCACCAATGATATCTCTAATCTTGACCTTAACGCCTGCAATTTCTATGGGCAAATACCGGAAGCCTTGTTCAAGCTTCGAAAACTGAAAAGCTTGAGGTTGAAATTCAATAATCTCGAAGGATCAATTCCTGAATGGTTAGGTCAACTTGAACATTTGCAGGAATTTGATATCTCCAGTAATTTGTTCTCTGGTTCAATTCCATCTTCTCTTGGAAATCTTTCTGATTTAACTATCTTAGGATTGTCTTACAATCAATTGAGTGGCAATCTTCCAATAAGCCTTGGGCAACTCCAAAACCTAAATATATTATCCATTGGTGGCAATTTCTTCATCGGTGTTCTTTCAGAAAAGAATTTTGCCAATCTCTCAAAATTATCTTATCTATACTCTAGTTCAAATGGTTTCAAATATTTCTTTGATCCTAATTGGGCCCCACCATTTCAACTTGATTTTTTGAATTTGGGTAACACAAGTTTAGGCCCTAATGTTCCAACATGGATATATACACAGCGGTCTCTAAAATCACTACAAATGTATGAATCAAGGGCGATTTCTTGCAAGGGTAGATATGGTCGACCTATCATACAACTTGATTGATGTAGATATATCCAATATCACACTCAACTCATCTTATATAGATTTAAGCCACAATAATTTCACTGGAGATCTCCCACAGTTATCAGCAAATGTCCAAAAATTCCTTGCATCTCATAACTCTTTCTCAGGATCTATTTCATCTTTGTTGTGCCACCCAAAAAGTAATGGAGAGATCATGTTATCTTCTTTGGACATATCATATAATCAGTTAAGTGGAGCACTTCCTGACTGTTGGTCCGATTGGAAACCATTAGGATACCTTAATTTGGGGAGTAATAGGCTAACAGGTGAAATTCCTCCCTCAATGGCTTCATTAATATATCTTCAAAAACTCAACTTGAGTGATAATAGTTTTTTTGGAGAATTTTCATTAGACTTATCAAACTTGACATTTTTGGAATACCTCCTCCTGGAGAAAAATAATTTTTCTGGAAGTTTGCCAATTACATTGCAGCAGAATATGATGGTTATCATAATGAGGGCCAATCAATTTATAGGCAATATTCCATCACAGATATGCAACCTATCTTCCTTAAGGATATTGGATCTTGCTGATAATAATGTTTCTGGATCCATACCTCATTGCCTCAACAGCATCATGCATTCAAATCCTGAAGATTTTAATCTTGTCAATGATGTCCACTTATTTACTAAAGGAAGAGAATTGGACTACAATCAGGATGAATTGTTTTTGAGGATTATTGATTTTTCCAACAACAATTTATCAGGAGAAATTCCTAAAGAATTGTTCAATTTGACTGAAATGTGGTCCCTGAACTTGTCCCGAAATCACTTGACTGGAAAGATTCCCAAAGAAGTTGGAGGCATGAAAAGCTTGGAATCTCTTGATTTCAGCTACAATAGACTTTCTGGAGAAATTCCTTCCACCATCTCTAATTTGTATTTTCTCGATTATTTGAACCTCTCATACAACAATTTCAAGGGACAAATACCACTAGGAACACAAATTCAAATGGCAATCCTAAACTCTGTGGAGATCCTCTTCCAACAAAGTGCAGCAAGAAAGAAGACATTGGCAACTCAAAGTTGGTTGAAGGAAATAATGAAGACGACAACTTTCTGAAGTCATTGTATCTTGGAATGGGAGTTGGATTTGCAATGGGCTTCTGGGTGGTTTGCGGTTCTCTCTTCCTCATCAGAGCATGGAGACACAGATTTTTCCGATGGTATGATCATTTGGTAGACCGACTTTATGTTGCTGTAGCCATATGTTACAAAAGGTTTGATTGAATATCAGGAACAAATTCCCCTTGAGGTAATAAATTAGCTGCTGTGTTTCTTAACTGCTATTATTTAAACAAGAGTCTATTTTCCTCCTCCTTTTTCTTGCCAAACAAGTTCTGTTCTTTACTAATTATGTAATATCTTGTTTCTTGTTCAATGTGTCTTGTCTTCGTGATCCAAGCGCAGCAGCAAGCATTGGGTACAACATTTTGGAGTGTAGGAGTATTTTATCTATCTATCACTATACTATGATGCGTTCCTGTCATTCAAATCCTGAAATTCTGCTTCAAGTAATAAGAAGCTTTGCTTTGCTTCCATGTTACCTATTGAATGTCCTTTTCTTTTCTTAAATTTAGTGAATTGCACTGAGAAGAGAAGATTTGGTAATGATAGTTATTAGTGCATGTGTGCGTATTCTCCTGTTGTTAAAGAAGCCTTTGTTGAGTAGATTTCCATGAATCCATGTGATATGGTTGTTTTGTCATCTTTTTCTCTTTCAGTGGAGTATCCTTTTCCCCCGATTAATTTATATTTAAGCAGTGCTTATAATATGACTGGAAATTAATTAGTTGATATCAATCAATAGAACTACCACATGTATAAGCATATATAATATACAGTATTAAAATCTAGCAAAGCAAACAGGCTAAGAACACACGAAGTTCAAATCTTGGAGTTCAGGTTTGCTGCAGATTAGATCGACTAGGAACATTAATACGAATCATATATCCGACGCTCTCTTATCAACACACAGCCTCGTATTGAACTATAAAGTAATCAATGTACGTGATGCTCTTAAACAATGTTTCATCCTTCTCTAATAGCTCAAGCGCAGGCCTACTTCATTATCAAGAGCTACAATGAGTTAGAACCACAGAAAAAATGTAGTGCTATAAAAGGAAAAATTCTCTATTTAAATTATAGGTACTAGAGTAGTTGAGACCTCAATTTTTTTTTAAATTTTGTGCAATTTAGCCCCAGAACATTTAAAAATGTCATAATATGTCCCCATTATTTACAAAAGAAACGTCTGTTGCATTTTTGTTGTGGGACCCACATTAATTTTCGGGTCAATGTTCTTCAAAGAGATGGGGCAGATTGTGACATTTTTAAATATTGAGGCAAAATTGCCAAAATAAATAAAAGTGGAAAAGTGGAAGTCCGAGACGGTCTGAGCCCTATAATTTAAGGATAAAGCTGTCCTTTTATAAGGACAAAACAAAAAAGAACCTCAAGTTGATCTCCAGTATAAGAGTCTTTGCATTGGTTATAGATTCTCCTGCTCGTGATGGATGTCTGTGGGCAAAGCAGAGCTATTATTGAGTTTAATGTATTGAGTGGATTAACTATATCAGTTAACTGCGTTCTTAATTGAAAGTTTGAGAAAAGTTTATCGTCAAGCTCTAAATGTTAAAGGAACGATTTGTAGATGACCCAAAATTGGAGAGAAATTATTGGAACTGAGAATGAGTTGTGCCATAGACGAGGATAAGAGGCATCATAGTGGACTTATGTGGTGAAGTCAAATCCGTTTGAAAGCTTGAATGTAGTGGATCGATCTCGCAGTTGCATGTTTATATTTTAATGTTTTTAAGTATGTTCGGTCTCATGATTTTTTAGAGCATTTAATTTTTAAGTAAAAACGTTATATGATATGGACACTTTGCACTTTGGTAACTTTTTTTTTTTTTTTTGGTAGTAGAAGTATTGGAAAGTTCGTTCAGTTTGCAAATGAAGTACTGTACCTAATTGTTATATGCATATTTTGAGAGTATTTTTCTGTCATTTCCTTTTCTAAATTGTAATTTAAAGTTTCATATTTTTTCTAAAAATTAAATATCAAATTAGAAACAAAAAAATTATCATAAATTTAGAAAAAATTAATCATTTGATCCTTATATTTTTGAATTAGTTATAACTCAATTCCTGAACTTTAACTCATTATAATTTAATCTTTAAAATTTTAACTTAATTGTAAAGCAGTCTTTAAATTTTACCTCCTATACATTTGATCTTTAAGCTTGCTTTTGAATTTTATTATCCAACCAAATTTCTATTTGTCTAATTGATTTTTAAGAAAAATATATCCATGCATAAATATCACTAAAATCATTGACTTTTAGCTTAATTTGAATTTCAATTTGTATACCTCAGTTTATTCTAATTTTTTGTAGAAGATTCCAAACTTCATATATACCCGACCCATTTTGTCAAACACTAAACTCGTTTGATTCATTGTAAAAATAATACATATCTGTCTGTGTGTGTGTGTGTCTCTGTTTGTGTGATTCATTGTAAAAATAATACATATCTGTGTGCGCGCGCGCACGTGTGATGTAAGTCCTCATAAACTAAGAGTCGGGTGGAAGATGACGTGGTGGTTGCAAGCTCTAAACTCATTTGATGCATTGCTTCTAAAAACAATACACATATGATGTTTTTTTCTCCCAAAGCAAGAGTAATATTTTTTCATACATATATGAACTGAATCCTAAAATAATGTTTAAAAATCCAAACCACTATCAATTGCACTTAAAGTTGAGAATACGGGTGAGTCTAACCCTTAAGGGCCTAAGCCCTAAAGCTTGATTCCCTATTTTAAACTTCATTTCTCAAGCCCGGCCCTTATATGAAGGGCTCAGGGCCAAGCCTGCAAGCCCTTTTTCAAAAAAATTAAAATAAAATTAAATATTATAAATTAATTAACATATTTTGTAATTAAAAAATAAAATCCTCATAATTTTTTTAAAATTAAACAATACACATTTAGAAGTCTAATAATAAAATTTAAATTTTGGTTAAAAAAATTTATTTTTTATAAATATACAAACATAATAATTATAAAAAAAATAAAAAATATCAGAAATTTTATACTATATACTGATATTTATTAAATTAATTTTAGAATAAATTAAAATTAATAATAATATAATACGTATAGGATCAAGTGAGCAGGTTATTAGCTTCAAATACATGTTCCATCAAAGAAAACAAAAATAATAATAATATAATAGGGTTTGAAGGGCTACCCGAGCCTAAGCCTTTTTTTACAGGACTTATTAGAGTCAAGCCCTCAAGCCCGATTACTTTAAAAAAAAATTATTTTCAAAGCTTTAACCCTTATTTAAACAGAGCCTCTAAGCTCAGCCCTCCAGGCCCGTCTGTAACTGCACTATTTTCACTTAGTTACAATTAATGCTTTTGTTTAGGGAAATTTAGGGCGACACAAAAAAATGTAAAAACTTATATTCTCTCTATTTAAAAATGTAAGATATTTTTAATCGAATCTCACCCTAATAAAATAATTACCTATTTTTCAACTAACCTTATCTTTCTATATTTATCCCAATTAAACACCCTACAATAAATATAAAGTCATTATCAATAAGCAATAATTATACCTCAAAAGATTAAAAATATTTTATATTTTTTAACATTCAATTCCTCAAAAAATGTCTTATATTTTTGAATGGAGTGAGTAATAAACTATATTATTTAAAATGAAAAATTATAAACAGGAAGAAAGTGAAAAGTCATACATTATTATATAAATTATGTATGACAGCTGTGCGTCTATTAAGTAAATCCTTATACTATCGGATAGAGACTGACACGTTGATGTAGCCCATGTTTATCGTAAAGGGAATTAACCGCTGTTGGATTTCTATTTTTATTTTTTTATTTTTAAAAACTGTTTTGTAATATAATTTTAAAATTATTTTTAAAACAAAATAAAATAAAAATTAATTTGATTA